ATATAATTCTGGGGGGGGGGGAGGCTCAGGAGAATTGTGCAAAACAAGCGTGCCAGCCTGGAGAACGTTGCATTTTTCATCAGCGGCCTCAACTCGCTGAGTTATTGGGCAGCGCTCTCATTCATGAGCAGATGTTCAGCGCGGTTACACTCTGCAGTTAATGTGAACTTACTGGCCTCTCCGCCATTGGCTGCAAGGACGTTGGCAGCGACCTGGCATCTGAGAATTACTCCCAGTAAAAGACGCGGGGCCTGGAAAGCGCCGGCCTTTTTTAGCCACTTCCCGGCCCCGGGAGCTGGATCCCGGACAGGGGAAGGCTCTGACAGCCCATCCGTCTTGGATCGGACAGTGATGGAGCGCTTAACACCGTTTGCTCGGGGAATAGTGAGGAAATTCCTGAAGATAATGTCCAAAAGTTAATTTCTAATGCCTTGCTCAGCAGGTGCCTGTATGAGCATTACATATAAGTACATGAAAGTACCATCCCCCGTTAGGTATAAACTAGTTTTACATGCAGAGGATCAACTCCAGTACCCTTGAAAGAGGAAATTCGTAGAAAGAAGGCACCTGTGCGGGGGTAACAGTTTGGCCCTGGTAGGTCTATAGCTGAAAGCAGCTGGTGCTGTGGTCAGTGTGTGTGTGTGTGTGTGTGTGTGTGATTGAGGAGGAGGGGGTTGTATCCTCTCCACAGCCTGGCACTTCAGACATCTGCATGCCCAAGCTGCTCAGCCTGGGTTTGATGTGGCCATACAGATCTGTAATGGCTCCCTTCTAACTAAGCAAAACGCTTTTTGATTTAAAGTGCCATTAACTGGTCAGAGTGTGTACGTGACATCAAGTTTAGTAGGCGGCATGTCAATCATCTCCTACGTGTGTGTGTGAAAGTCCTCACAGTAAAGTTGTGCATATGGGACTCACACAGTGGAAATGACAAGCTCTTGTTTCCTCCGCGCGTCTCATTTTCACTTTCTAATTGGTCGTTTTCAGGTTGGCTTTACGAGAGCAAAACTAATTAGCGTTTCTAAATTCAGCAGAAAAAAAAAGAAAGTCAGCCGGCTTGATTGTGCTGGTTTCCTCTCCTGTGTCAGGCGCTCGACAATAAAATAAGACTCTAATCATTTTCAAAGTGCTCGTATTTTTGAAGCCCAGAGCTGAATGTCACTCCCGGTCTCTTGGCATTTTGTTTGGCAGGGTCAGGGAGCGGCGGTTGCCCTCTCGCCTGTGTATTCTCTTTGTAATTCGTGGGAAGTTTGGACTTAGGGCCGGTGGAAAAAAAAGAACAAAAAAAAGAACAGCGTTATGTGTTTTAGGTGGGGTTGTTTCTGCTTTGATTGGGAACGTCCTGCTGACAGGAGCAGCCGAGCAAGTTTACAGTAGCTGTGACATTGCTGTTACCTTTATTCAAAGTGCTCCAGCTGCAGCGAGCCCTCAGGAAGCAGCGCGGGCCCACATGGGCGGCCGGCGGCCCGCAGGGAGGAGAGCGAGGCCCTGTTTGAGTTGGCAGACACTCCCCTCTCGGGGAACTTTTGCTGCCTCTGCAGAAAGGCCGGTAGCGGCGGCTCTGGCGTGGCGGCGGTGATTCTGGGGGCAGGATGGGCTTTTTCCACCTCTCCTCCCTTTCAGGAAACACATTTTGCTGTTTCTTCCCTCTGAGTTTGCAAACCATGGCGTTAAGGTGAAGGGGCGTAGGGCTGTGAGAGGCTGATTTCAAAACCAATAGGCCCTTTAAGCATGGAGCTTCATTTATATTGGATACAACCAGTGTGCTGTTTTTATTTTCCCATCAACCCTGTTAGGATCCAGCCTTCAGAAGCCAGTAATTAAAACATGCCTGATCTGAGGTCAGGGAGGAGCATTGTTTAAATGCAATTAGTGCAAATTAATTTGGACCCAGTTACAGTTTTTGTGTCATTATTTGTTTAATCAAGGGAGTTCCCGTTTAAGATGCTAAATATGTATCCACCACTGTGAAGCTATTTAAGTCTGCTTTAATGAATATTCATTTCAAAGTGACCTGTTTTGAGTCCCTTCACTAGTGCGCTCATACTGTGTGTGTGTGTGTGTGTGTGTGTGTGTGTGTGTGTGTGTATAATAACCCAAACAGTATATAATTTAATCAAAATCACAATATTTGTATCTCAAGAGGTGCAGTATTTNATGCTCCCCCGGGAAGATTTTTAAAAAAATATTGAAGTTAAAAGCATCAACCTGGTGCACTTTGAGAGCAACATGAAGAGATCTATGGATACCTCTCCCAGCACCCATATGAAACAGAACTGTAAACAGATTTTCTTTTTCTTTGTGGATATTTTACAAATCACTCCCGTTTCAAACTGTATTCTTCTTTATTAATAACAACTTTGTTTTACTGTCATATAGCATTTTATACCTGTTTAC